GGGGAAGGGACAGGGTTAAAAGTGAGCATAGAAAGTGCATGGTGGTGGTGGTAGTCTTGAAGTGATGTAGGATTTCTGTGGAACAGTTAGTCACCAAGGAAAAAGGACTGTAAATGTAGGTGGGAGGCAATTTACAGACAAATATACTCCTCTGCAGTAGCTCAGTTCATTTTAAAGAGGTACGTTATATTATAGGACATGCGTTAGACTAAGAAATCTGGGAGTCATTTTAAATAGTCTGCTGTAAAATAAAATAAACAGGCTAAAATATTTAAAGCATAAAATTTCTGCCCAATATATTTGGTTGGTCTTAGAGACCAACACTGATTTGTGTGAGGTGTCTTTATACAAAATGGGGATAATAGATGTGCAGAACTATACTTGAGGATAAAGAAACACAAAATTATATTTACATCTAGTGAAAAACAGATGTAAAAATACTTCATTTTACCCACTGCCAAAACTCTGTTTGACTCCAAAAAATGTAGATTTTTTTGATAGTATGTGAAATAGAAATTTGAAAATGAGTAAGAAATGTTTACCAAGTGGAGATACAAACAAAAGTAAAGAAGGAGAAGCTTATAGGCAGTGGGTTTTTGAGATACCCAGTGTGTCTCAATAAATTCAAGTCTTTGAAAAGGGGAGTGGTTTTATTATCTGTGCCTCCTCCTCCCACCATATTTTATCACAGATAGGCCTACAAAGATAGAGGCCACGAGGGGAGAGGGTTTCCAGCTCATCGTACTCCAAGAACAGAAGCATTGGACCCTAAAATTGGGGATCACAGCTGAACTTTTTTTCTGACACTATGCTGCTTCCCCATGTCCTTCCCTTCAATGACTGAACCCTGGGATTGAATGGAGATGCAGACCAATCTAAATAGATAAATCCAATAAAATACAGGATTAGAATAAAATATTTGGTTTATAAATATTTAAAGATTGTGCCATATTTTCTCTTATTTTTATTGCCTTTCTTAGATCTTTTTTTTTGTCTGTTTTATGCTCTCTGTTCTCTCCTTGCTCTACCCTCGTAATTTTTTGTTTGTTCTCTCACTTGGTTTCTCTTTCTGCTGTAAGAGTAGAGGACTTTATGATGTCTATAACATAACCTCAAAAGGTGGAATTTTGGTGTTTAAAGAATCAAGTGTTTTAGAGACTTTCATATCCTACAGAGGTACCAGAATTTTCCCTTTCAAAGTCACCAAATACACTTCATTTCATCTTCTACACAAAAGTCAAAAGGAAAACTTGTTTTGAATTGTAAGGCTTAGGTTAGTGGGTGGTTCTGGTTCTGGTTCTGGTTGAATGGGCCTGGCTCCAGAATTTATGAAGTAAGTAAATCTAAAAAAAATTAGATTATGATACTATCAAGTTCTCTCTTGAAATCTGAACAAATGAATTGAGAGAGAGAAATGTTTTCTGTTCATTTTATTATAATTTCATTTTTTTAGATATCTTGATGCTGTTATAATAGTCACAATAGAAAGACAAAGTCATTGAATAACACTTCACAGAGTGTTGTGCTTTATTTACACCTCAGTTTCTTCAATATTTGAAATCCTCCGGGAAGGTGGAAATCACTTTTTCACATATACATTATATACAGTACATTTGGAAAATATATTTGGTGTAGTTTTAGTGTTTGTTTGGTGCCATCTCTTGTGTAAAATCTTTCCTCCATTTGTACTCTAATCTGAAAGTTTTTTGGCATCTGAATCACTTGCCAATTAAACATGCTGTACTGTCTTGTGGATGGTGGGATTTTGGAGGTGGGGTTTAAGACTGGAGGGCGAGTTCAGTAATAATGTACAGAAATTCCTCATTTAACACTACAGATATGTTTCAGAAAATGATCGTGTTAAGTGAAAACGTGTTATGTGGGGCCAATTTTCCCATTGAAAATAATGGAAAAGGTGAGGGTTGCATTTCAAGCGGTGGTGTCTGTTGAGACTGGGACATAAGGTTAGGGGAGAAAGGGAATTGGGTTACAGCCGGGAGGAGAGGTGTTTGGCTCTGGGGAAGGGGAGGGGAGGGGGATTGGGTTGGGAGTATGCCCCTGTGACAGGTCTGCCAGGACCCACACTGTGTCCGGTGAGGGGAGGTCGCTGGGGAACGGCGCGGTGAGCGGTGAACCCTCCGCCACTTTGCAGGGATGTGGGGGAAGCCTCGTGCAGCCACCGGCAATGGGCTGGCTAGGGAATTTGTGTTATTCCAGGGACAGTAGTGTAATTCAAAAAACGTTCCCTAAAAAAATCATGCTACTGCGAAAACGTGTGAAGTGAGCACGTGTTAAATGAGGAATTACTGTAATGCATTAACAGAAAATTTCTGCTATGAATTTTACTGTCAGAGAAAACATTCTTCTTCTTTGAAGGATATAATAGGGGTTGGAAAACAGTTCTATAATTTACAGACAGTGAACCTCAGAACAGTCCTATGATGTATATAGTGATTTTATACCCATTTTTCCCTAGTGTATTTGAACCAGACTGAAGTTAAGTAATTTGCAGAAAATCACATAGCAAGTTAGTAGCTGAGCCAGGAATTATGGTGAGGCAATAACCTTTCCAGAGTTGAGGTTACAATCAGCTTCCGTTATGGAGCTAAGTATTAGCTTGCCTGTAGCTTTGGCTTGGAAATTAAATTGTCCTGATCGAATCCAGATTTACTCTTTGACAGTGTTGCATACTTTTCCTATTAAATTAGATATGCAGCATTATTCTAAATGAACAGCAATTTGCGTATTACTAAAAATTTCTACTGCCAATTGATATATGTTAGTTGCTTCCCACATCACATTGTTGTTTAAAAAAAATGACAAAATGTAGTTTGTTACAACAGCAAAAACCCCAACAACAAAGCTTTAAAATTCCAGGAGTCAGGGTTAGTTCTTTTATTATGATGAAATGTGTATTTCATCCCACTGGATTAGAATAATATATTTATTTGGGAAGTGTAAGATTTAGGATTCCCTTAATGATACAAAGATTTGTATTTTTGCAAATGACATGATAGGTAAATACCTTGTAATTTAACCATCTTAACTGTTGTTTTTTTTAATGAGTTTGGAGTTGAGGGAGGGGTTCTTTTGAATTGTATTAGAACTAAAGAGTCAGAACCCCCAGTTCTCTGTTCCATTAGACAGCACAGTCTGGAGTGGGATACAGAAACATTTAAACAGCAACTGTACACACTAATTTTTTTAGGGCAGGAAGTGAAGGATAATGCCATTTCCAAACAAAACTGCAGTGTGACATTTAGGCAGACAAAAAGTAATTTTGTAAATTGGGGCCAGCACATGTATTCATGTGGTAAGTGCCATGAACTTTTTAATTCACATAAAAGATAAAAGTCTTGGTTTTATATTTTCCTACAGAATGTGATTTCTGAGAGTGCAGAGCTACTTGCCACTACAATGGGAAACTGTTGTTTACTTCTTTCTCAGAGGGAAGACCATTGGCATCTATATCATCTAGGGAAGTAAAATCCCATTTAATTAGTTAACCGCTTAAACAGGGCAGGCAGGGGGTGGCGGGCTGCTCTGGGTAGGCCGGGTCATTGCGGACTGTGCCAGCTAGACTGAGGGCCCGCTTCAGGTAAGGGGGGCTGTTCTAGCCCAGCCGAGCCACCAGTTAACCTGTAAGAATTACCCGATAAACTGTTTAACCATTGACATCCCTAGTATCATCAATACTTTTTCTCTGGTTTCTGCATAAGCCTCTACAAAAGGTCCAGATTGTAGTGAATTTGTGTGAGAGACCTTCCTAATTGTGGGTTTTGGCTGAGCTAGGCACTCATTTACCCAATGGAAACAACGTACCTTGAAGTGCTTCCATGCACAGAAAGAATATTGCTTGTCTTTTATAACTGTTCTTTGTACTGATGGGATGGGTTCCCCAGAATCCAAGGCCAAAGTCTTCTGAATAAAACAATGATTCTCAACCTGGGGTGTACAGAGATCTTCCAGAGATTACTTCAACTCATCTAGATAATTTGCTTTCTTTTGCAGCAGACTACGTAAAAAATAAAATATTATGCAGACAGTGATTTGTTTATACCAGGGGTTCTCAAACTTTGTGATACCACCACCTCCTCTAAGTTGCTCATGACCCCCCTCTAAGTTGGTCGCAACCCCCTGAGAGGTCGGGACCCACAGTTTGAGAAACACGGGTTTATGCAGTACTCAGCCCGTGGGCTGTTTCGTTTTAATGGGGTCGCCAGGGCAGTGTTAGACTTGCTGAGTGCCACAGCAGAAAGCTTAAGTCCAATTTTTTGAGCTAGGTGAAACTTGGAGTATTCAAGACAAAGCACATTCCTGAAAGGGATACAATAGTCTGGAAAGGTTGAGACCCACTATAATAAAGGATCCAGTTTGGGAGGTAGCAACTACATTTAAAGGGCTTTCTTTTGCTAAGTTGCTAAAAGCTATCAACAATCTGTCCATCAAAGGTGCTTTAACATTGCCATATATATGGTAGTGTAGGGTTGTATGCTCAGGTGTTTGGTGTTCCGATTTCATTATAATTATAAGAGTTAGTTTTGATTCATCTTTGATTTCCTTGAGAGGATCCGCTATCCAAAATCCATGTGTCAGAGAAACTGGTTTCTTACTTAGAAATTTGTATTCTTGCACTTCAGTACACCAACCCTTTTTGACATTTCTTTTGGTCACACAGTGAAGTTAGGCTGGATCCTTTTATTAATTCTTACTTTCCAAATAGATAAGAGCTCTTTTGGAGAAGTAGTGAAAGGCTGAATTATATAAAATTCTTGAAATCAATTGATAGGTTGTATGTGAAAATACTCCAGCCTTGAACTAGTCTTCCTGAGACTTTGATTTTACTAATACTACTTTACTTTTTTCTTCTTTGTGTCTATTTTCTTATGTTGCAACCTTTTAAAGCATGAAGATTTGAGGAGGGAGGAACCATTGTTTCTTTTGAATTGAAACAGAACTTGAGAAATCTTCTCTTATTTGTCACAATTTCCAATTTTCAGGAATTCTTTGAACATGCAAAAAAGCTCTGGGATGATGAAGGAGTAAAGGCATGCTTCGAGAGGTCAAACGAATACCAACTGATTGACTGTGCACAGTAGTAAGTGTTTATTTTCATGTAATTAATGCCCAAGAATGTAATCGATTATAACAACTCTGAAAAAGATACTTTATATTTGCAAGATTTGGGAGTTTGTGGTACACCAAACAACATTATAATTTCCTACATCTACAAAACATGCAGAGCAAAAGTACTGAAGATATTACTGTGTTGCTCAGTTATTAGACAGTTACAATTTTTGCTGCTGAAGAATGCTAGAATAAAAAGGAAAAGTTAGCAAGTCAAATAATTTTAAGTAATAGCTGTCTGTTTTGAAAAGTACCAACCTAGACCAATTTAAATTATATTAAATCATTAAGATTATTTTAAGTGAAAACACTTTTAAATTTTTGTTTTGGATGACTCTGTATTTGAACATTTTAAGCATCAGATCACACAGTGAGATTACTAAGGGTTTTTTCACCTTTTATTAAAGATTTTGAAATTTTTATCAAAAGCAATGTAAACCTATATCATGTTTCCTTAGTATATTCAGCAAACAAATAATAGGTGACAGGCAGTTCATCTAATAAACTAGCCAGTTTATCTTCTCATAGAGCTACTTCAAGTCAATCAGTAAATTTGTTAACGCAAGTAACAGTTCCTAAAATGATTCACTTGTTAGGCTGTGGTTTACACAGAGTTCCAGTGGAACGGTCTATATGGCTATGTCTAGACTAAGAGAGTTTTTCTGTCCAAGAAATACGTCTGCTCTTCCAACATTTTTTGTGGAAGAGCAGACGCACTCTTTCGGAAGCGCTGTCACAAGGAAGAAGGGCTCTTCTGGAAAGAGGAGGTTTTTCCAAAATTTGGCCCAGTGTAGAAGGACTAAATTCTGGAAAAGCCTCTTCTCACAAAACAATTGGAAAAAGGTATGCAAATTGTGGAACACTATTTGCATACCTTTTTCCAATATAAAGTGCCCTATCCCGTAGGCCACGCCAGAACCCACCCCACCTCCTTCACTTCAGGGTGTCCCTTATCCCGCCTTCTACCAGGGCAGCCTGGGCATTGGGCGGCCTCATCCTATGTGAGGATGGGGATATGAAAATCCCAAACAGGTTATAACACACAGTACATCCACTCTTTTCACCCATCTGCTACTGTTACTATATTTGACTATCACCAAAAATGATAACTCAGCTCTGAATTAGACTTCGATCAAAAGTGTATATTAAATAAATTGCTGTTGCCAGAAATCTTGCTTTTAGAGTTGCTTCGTGATTTAAGATTTTTGCAGAGCAGGTTCTGGAAATCAGTCTGACTGGTGATTATGATGAGCAGCAATATTACAGGTCTGTTGCAAAACAGTGTATCCTGATTCTCTGTTCTCTGTATTCAGACCCCAGAAGAGAGACAAGAACACAAAGCAAACTCATTCCCTCACTTTTGCCAGAGACTGGCAGTTTAGTGTCTTCGGGTCACTGCTCTCCTCTTCCTACCTTGACTATATTGTGGGAGAAGAGAAGCCACCACACGTAGACACATTTACACATGACAGTGTGGTGGAACCGTGTATGGGTAGAAATTAGCTTAGTTAACTTCAGTGGGCATAGTT